CCCATTTTTTCCCATTTTTTCCCATTTTTTCCCATTTTTTCCCATTTTTCCCATTTTTCCCGTTTTTTCTCTCACCCTTTCCGAGGTGCTCCTCCCGTCATTCCCATTTTTTCCCATTTTTTCCCATTTTTTCCCATTTTTTCCCATTTTTTCCCATTTTTCCCGTTTTTCCCTCACCCTTTCCGAGGTGCTCCTCCCGTCATTTCCGGGCTCCTCCTCACTGGGGTGGGGGCTGGGCCCCTCCTGGCCCCCGGCCATGGCCCCTGCGGAGACCCCAGACCCTATAGGGACCCTATAGGGACCCCAGACCCCATAGAGACTCTATAGAGACCCCATAGAGACCCCAGACCCTATAGGGACCCCATAGAGACCCCAGACCCTATAGGGACCCCAAACCCTATAGAAACCCTATAGAGACCCCAGACCCTATAGGGCCCCTATAGAGACCCCATAGAGACCCCAGACCCTATAGAGACCCCATAGAGACTCCAGACCCTATAGAGACCCCATAGAGATCCCAAATCCTATAGAGACCCCATAGAGACCCCAGACCCTATAGGGACCCCACAGAGACCCCATAGAAACCCCAGACCCCATAGAGATCCTATAAGGACCCCAGACCCCATAAGGACCCCAGAGAGACCCCAGACCCTATAGGGACCCCTATAGGGACCCCAGACCCCATAGGGACCCCACAGAGACCCCAAAGCCTGTAAGGACCGCATACAGACCCTATAGAGACCCCAGAGTGAGCTCACAGAGACCCCACAAAGACCCGGACCCCATAGAGACCCCCCAGCCCCTATAAACCACCCCAGCCCCCACAGACCCCTCCTCGCCATCCCCTCCGAGTCCTATAGACCCCGAGCCCCCTCCCCACCCCCTACAAACCCCACAGACCCCCTATAGACCCCACAGATCCCTATAGATCCCCTAGAGACCCTATAGATCCCCTATAGTCCTCACAAGCCGCGGTCTCTCCCAGTCCTCCAGGCCCTTACAGAGCCCCCCCGGCTCCGAGCCCCCTCCCCA